CTCCCCCACATACACGTGCTGTGATGTACTGTTCTGCCACAGGCCCAAAGCAACCAGGGACTAAAACTTCTGGAACTGTGAGCCAAAATAAACTCTTCCTTCCTTAAAGGTGATTTAACTAAGGCATTTTTTTTTCCAGTTAATATAAAGCCAACTAACAGTGCCTTTTAAGATCTTACCCAGTAGAAGAGGCAGACAAGCTCCTTCAGGCTTCCTTTGTAAGGACACTAATCCCATTACTGAGGCTCCACCCTCAATATCTCATCACCTCCCAAAGGCTCCACTTCTTAAAGCCATCACCTTGGAGATTAGGATTTCAGCATATGAATTTGAGGGCATTGGGGACACATTTAGACCATAACAGATGGCAAGTTTTCAAAAACCCATAGTTTGCATTTTCTGGTATTTAATGCAATGAATCTATAGCAATCAGGGATTTCAGGCTCATTAATGGGGCTCTGTAGTGTATCTCTATTCTTGAATATGAAACCAGTACATTATAATCATAGATGAGAAGTTACTTTATTTAAAAAAATACTTTACTATTTTGCGCCTTTAATAAGGAATCTGTCCTTGAATCTAAGAAATTCCTTTATGCTTGTCCATCTAGCTGCCTTTTGCCAAGATAAGAAAAAATATCTGCTTAGAAAATCTTGTGGAGAAATAACATTTGTAATGTGACCCTAAAATTTAGATCAACTCTGAGAATGCAAGACTAGTTATTACTTGTACTCCCATTCTGTCCTGGCTGGGGGAGGTGACTAGCTATAAATAAGATGCTCTTTTGAAGTAATTAATAATTCCCAAAGAAACATTGGCATGCTGCTTTATTGTAACACATCTCCATTTTTTTATAGGAAGGCAGTCAAGGTAACAGATGGAGAAAGTTTTAGGCCTGACAGTTATAAATAGTACTGCAATTTATTTCATGATATATTTGCAATTCTCTTTTTTTGCCATTCTGAAAGTTGAATCTCAATCAAAATATGTTTTTCTTGACCAATGAGTAAAAAGTTATTGCAATGGATTAAAACTCTAAAATAATGAAATAGAGTGACAATGTTTGGTCCTTCTGGAAGTTTTACTTATGTTCTAGAGTATTTTTTCCCTAACACCTGATCTTAAAAGAACTTCTTTTCTAGGGATCAGATGGAGTAGGGGAATCTTAAATAAATCAGCTATCCCAAGTATGACTATAATTTTTCTTGTTTCTAGTGATCTAAGTAATACTTGCCTGATGACCACTATGTAGCCAAGCACTAAATGGGACAAAAGCACAATATTCTTGTCTTTAAACAGACACTTGTCAGGAGAAAGCATTAAAGATATAGGAGCTAAATAGCAATACAGCACAGTGGAACATGAAATATCACTGGCCTAATGTTTATGATAAATTATAATTATCATTTTATTGTTCCATATTTGCTGTAATACTAATCTAACAGAGCATCAAAAGTATATTGAATGTTCAAAATGTTGCATACAGAACAAATATATTCTTTTTTCCTTAAAGAAATTTAAATTTAAATGATAGAAATATAAGGAAAACCATCAAACTAGCAAGTATTTTCAAGAGTGGTAATATCCCCACTGCTGAGGAAGCTACAGAGAAACAGGAGCCCTTAAATATTATTGATGTTTTTGTGTAATTAACAAAGCCATTTGGGAAGGTGATATGGCTATAGCTATCAAAATGTCAAATGTGCATTTCTTTGTTGTGGAAATTCTACTTCCAATAATGGTGAGCTAGGTTATTTGGATTCTCTGACTCTCCCTTTCCCTTCTATCTCCCCTCCCTCTTTCCCTCTCCTTCTTCTTTTCCACTCTCTTTCTCTCTCTAAGAACAACTAGAAAAGAAAAGCAAAATATTTGTAAAGAAATGTTTTGAAGGCAAAAGAGAAGTACTAGGACGGTGAAGAATTACAGAGCCAAGATCCAGAAGAGGTAAATCAAGACCATCAGACTTTAGGGGCCACTTTATTCTTAAAGACACCACTTTTTTTTTAGTACAACTGCAGAGTTTCAAAATTTGGTAGGGTTAGGGTAAAAAGCATAAGCATTCATTCATGAGCTATCCAAGGAGTAAGTTCCCTGGCAGTCTCCCAAGTTTCAGAGTGGGGCCCAGTGAAGCCCAAAGCTCAGCTTTGAATAATTTTTTTACTTATTGATTTTTTAAAGGCAGTTCTTCTCCACTGGGTTCCAAAAGATAGTTAATCCCTAATCTCCTAAGGTATCTATTATTTATTAAGAATTAGTTCTTGCCTGCTGCGCAAGTGCAAGGGCCCAAGTTCGATCCCCGGTAACCCCCCAAAAAAAGAATTAGTTCCTTTTTAAATCTAAGATAGTACTAAGTACATATCCTTCTTGGCAGAATAAAAAATAGTCATATAGATGAGATATGCTGCTAGCCTTAATTCTCTAGCAAAATCGTAATTGAAAACAGTGAAATTGGATTTTCTGGGGTTGTAAATGCTGCCAAGTTACCAGCCAGAAGCTAGAACTTCAAATCACCTCTATAATTTTTATATACACTGATTAGCATTCAATCAATAAATAACCAAGCGTATAAGGAGGTATCAATCTGATAGAAAACCAAGCACACAGTAGAAACAAACCCATTAAAACAGAGAATAGAATTATTATAAATTTTTAAAATGATTTTTATCAGATCAGACAAAATTAAGCAGACACCTGGAAACTATTTTAAAAATTAATTAATTTGTTATTATAACTGAAAAGTTATAATAACAAATTAAGAACTCAGTGGATGAATTTAACAATCTGTTAGGTATAGCCAGAGGTAGATTTTATAAACTGGAAATTAGATAAATAAAAATAAAATGTGTGAAAATACTGAAGCACCTGGAGACAAAATACAGAAATAGCATAAGAATCTAATGGAATGCAGCAAAAAGTTTGCATATGTGTGTGTGTGAAAGAGAGAGAGAGAGAGAGAGAGAGAGAGAGAGAGAGAGAGAGAAATAGAGAAACACAGAAGCGATATTTGAAGAGATAATACCTGAAAAGTTTTAAAAACTGACAGCAGACACAGATTTACCTACTCAATAAGTGCTACAAATCCCAAAAGGGATAAATACAACCATACCTGAGAACATCATGGTAAAACTTTTGAAAACCAAAGACAAAAAGCAGTGTGAAGACAAGAGCATCACCTCAAATGAGCAATAAGACCATGAGTTGACTTCTTAATAGAAATAGTACAATAATATGGTATCTTCAAAGTACTTGAAGAAAATATAGGAAAATTATTCATGGATAGTAGTTACTCTAAATAGTTGTAGTGAAAAGTTGGAAGCCACTTAAATGTCCAATAGGTAATGTTAAATATATTTTAAGTGGAAAAGCAGGATATAAAATAAAATGTAGCATATACTCATTTACATTAACATTATTTTGATATAATTAAGCATAGAAGAATAGGCACCAAAATGTTAACAGAAGCTATATTTGGATAAAATTATAAGAGAATTTTCATGTACTGTATAACTTAAATAATGGTTATGTATTATATAATGAAGATCTTTCCATCTGAGAATGCAAACCATAAAACTAATTGGTTATGTGCTCTGGGTTTAACCTGAGTCCATTGTGCACATATTGTAGCAGATACTGTTAAGTGCATTCCAACACCTCCATATGGAAGAAACCTGCAAAGTAAAAGTCCAGGTAAGACCCCTAGACTCAGATCACTAATACTTTAGATTGACCTAAATCTAGAGAAGTTCAGTGTGAACTGCATCTTATGGAGCCCCATGGTGGCTCTCATTTTATGAGAACCATTAAGCAATGGTCACCCTTCTCTGATCTAGAGAAATCACCTTCCTCTATAAGAAACTTAAGAGCAGTGTTATAAATTGGGTTAATGTTTTAGTATCTGATTTTTAACTTACATACAATAACTGTATGTATATATTGGATACAGTGTTATATTTTGATGCATGTATAATGTAATGATCGTATCAAGGTAGTATATTAATTACTTCAAATATTTATAATTCTTTTGGTTGGGAACATTCAAAAGCCTCCCTTCTAGCTATTTTGAAATTTGGTGAATTATTGCCAACTCTAGTTTTCCTACTGTGCTATGAAACACTACAATTTAATCCTCTTCTCTAACTGTATTTTTGTACCTATTAACCAACTTTCTTCTTTCACGCTTCACCCTGACCCTTCTCAGCCTCTGATAATCACTGTTTGTCTTAGTTACTTTTCTCATTGCTGGGACAAAGTACCCAACATCCAAAGTTAAAGGAGAAAAGCTTTATTGTAGCTCACAGTTTGTAGAAGTTTCAGTTCATAGTTGGCTGGCTCTAAGCCAGGGTGGCATGGAAGAGGGGTATTGCAGAGGAGAAACAGTTCATGGCAGGTAGAAGGTAGCAAAACAGTGAAGTAGCGAGTAGCAAGCACCAAGCAACAACAGCAGCCCTCTTTCTATCCCTTATATTCTATCCAGGCTACCCACCCTTAGAGCAGGTAGTACTCACACACAGGGTGAGGCACCCTTAGTCCTAGCATCACATCATGAATCAATCTCAGCATCATACCCTCTAGATCCAGCCACCTCTGAAAAGCCTCACCCATGTTCACATAAGGCTTTGGGGGAACATCTAATCACAAGCAATAACACTATTGTACTCTCTACTTCTACGAAATCAACTTTTTAAGCTTCCACATATGAGTTAGAACATAAGGTATTTGCCTTTCTGTACCTGGAGGTTAAACTTTTTAATTGTCTTTTTTCTGCTAAAATGTTAGCCTAAATTGCAATATAGGTTGTTCCCTAAAGGTAAGAAATTAGCTGGGTTTTTTGTTTCCTAAAGATAAAATATATCTTCAATATCAGTTAAATTGCAGTTCCCATTGTGCAGTGCAGGCAGTTGTGTAAGAATCTTGATTGTTTGCCTGGATAACAACTTGTGGTTAATTTGAGGTAATAAAGTGCACCATTTGGGGTAATAAAGTCTGAATTATTTTTAAAGGCCGAGAAATCCGTCTGCCCCTCCGACTCAAAGGGGAAGGAATAGGACCTAAGATTCACTTCAACTTTGAATTGCTGGATATCGGGAAGGTTTTCACTGGATCTGTACATTGTTACGAGGTGAGTGCTAGAATTGTTCATTGAAGCTTCCAGCAGTACTTGGCTTTTAAATTTTTATTTTATGTGTTTTTACTTGGTAGAAAAGTAGTATAATCACAGCCATATGCCATTATTCATTCTTATTCAAACCCCAAAATGCTGATTCCTCTCTCCTCACCTTGCTGAGAGGAACAACTCTCCCATCCTTATCAGGCCCCTTTAACTTGGCTAAAAGCTAAAAAAGCATCAAAGCCATAATCTAATTGGTTTTATTCTCTTCATTTTGTAGGTTTCAAAGGGGGAAACCATAAATACATCTCCCCATCTGTTTAGCACTTGTTCTATAACAACATAAATCTTACAGATCTGAAGAGAGAGAACTCTTTATATTTTCTAGAATATCCTAATGAGGATAGCTGTTTTCACACTTCCAAATTTTCTCCAAATGCTCTCATCTCCAATTCAAGTTTCAAAACCCAGCCATCGTGATTTCTAGAGGAGACCTCCCTGCTTTGACCTCCCAATTAAATAGAAAATGGAATTTTACATGCTGGATTCTTCAGGGTCAAAGTCACTCCAGTGTCATCTCATCAGTATCTATTGGGGCACAGTTTTGCACTATATCAATAATATATTATTGAGCTAGTAGCTTCAGCTACTAGTTGCGCCTTTGCTTGAGGATGTTCCCAAATTGTGTAGGCTTGTTATTTTTATAGACAAAATAAAAACAATTATTTAGTTAATGACAAGTAGCTGTCAGGTTGTATGTAGGTGCATGTCCATGTCTGAGTGTGTGTGTGTAGTTGTTAACCCATACAAAACGATGAAAAATAGGCTTTATTATACCTATTTTAAATGTAATATGTGAGGGCTGTAGATTGAATACCTTCAACAACATTGCCCTTCATGTGTGCTGAGAGAGTGCAACTTCTTTGACATGCATTCATTCATGTAGTCCTCATAAAATCCCTACAAAGTAACTACAATTACTGTTCCGTTTCATAGCTGAGTAAGCTGAGGCTTAGAGAAGTTTACTAGTTACTAGGAATGGTAGATAAATCCAGAGCAAAGGTGCTCTCCTCCAGCAGAGAATCTGAAAGCCAGACCCCGTCCATCTTCTACTCCACCACTCCTTCCAGGTTCCCTGAAGACTGCAGTCTCATCTACAATGATGCTGGCAGAAGAGGAAAGAACATTCAGGAATGTGCATGAGATTTTTTACAGGAGGTGGTGCACTGCACTTTCATTCAAATTGGATTGTCTGTATGTGGCTGCAAAGGAGCCTGGGAATGTAGACTAGCATCATCAGCACAGAAAAGGAGGAAGTGGGTTCAGGCAACAGCAAACCTGACTGCTGGAGGCCTTAAGTAATTTGACCAATCACACAGCTTACAAATGTTGTGAGCCCTGGGTCACTAGCGCCCTCTATCCAGTTCAGGGAGTAGAAGGCCCTTCGCTGGGCTTTGGATCCTTCAGGCTCTTGGTGGCCCACTCTTCCATCCTGGGAACATCTGGCCAACTCAGCTCTCATCCCAGTCCAATCTGGCTGGGAACAATGTCCTTCATCCTCACACTCACTAGGGTTAATTATGGCCTAAAAGGGGTGATGCAAAAGGTAAACAGATGTTAATGTCCCAAGGAGATGGAATACATTTAGGAACAGACTATGAATGAAGAAACTAGTCTCACGACTGTCAAAAAATGAAAAGCGGCACAGGATGCACTGTACTGTTGTTCTATGTTGCATTTGAAAAAAGAGTCCCTGAGGTAGATTTTCTATTTAGAATGCAATACTTATTATTAGTTGGTATTCTTTCTGTAATTTAGCTCATGTGGATTTTCATTACATCTTAGATGATACTTTATGGATACCACATAAAAAAAGGACCCTTCCTTCTGATACAAAATGGATAGGGTTTCCCTGAGTGTAATAATAATTTCTTACAAACCTAACAGACATGAACTTTAAGCCTCGACTTCCAAACCTCCCCGGTTTTAACAGTATCAAACTACAGCCAGCTGCAGTGTTCAGGGAGGTGATGCATCAGACTGGACAGTTTGGAGAGCCGAGCAGCGACAGGGAAGGACATAGTAAGGTGCCTCTTATGGGAATATTTTGCACTCTCTGCGTATTTAACACTGATGCCTCATTGCTTCTCTCTTTCAATTTATTATATTACCTACTTGAAACAAATGTGAATAACTAGCTATTGCCCTTAGTCATTGCTGAGCTTAGCAGATACCTAAAGAATAAACCATAACCCCAAGAGTATATGCATTCCCCAGTGTAATTAAGAAGGAAAACAAATGGAGGTGAAGTTCTACTATCACTGTCCTCCCCTCCAGAAGTTAGACCACCAGAGTAAGAATATTACCAGCAATCAGAAAGCCTCAGAATCATGTCCCAAACATTTGCTGGATTCTGTACTCATAAGTAGGTACTTCTTTGGCAGGGGTAGGAGAATGGCATGCATATTCTTGAAAATGGAGGAACCAACACTCTACAGAAAATCTGGGTAAAATAGTCTTGTTAACCAGCCTCCAAACAGCAAACAAACACAAAGGCAATTTGAAGAACAAGGGTCTTCCAGTTACCACTAATGCCCTTAAGTTGTGTATGAGTCACCACTAGCATTTGTCAGTTGCTTCTTAAGCACAGGTAAATTCCGCTTGGCACTAAGGATATAAGTAATGATCGTCATCATTTATAACCATTATTTACCTAGCACAACTGTAATGTACTGTTAGCACATTTAATCTTGAACCAGTATGAGAAGTTCATGGTACAAATGGGGAAATGGGGACAGAGAAATTAAAGGGGTTGTCCAACGTCCCATAGCTAATAGGTGAATAGCTAGCAAGTCAGCTGGGGTTTGAACCCAGGCAGTTTTGCTCCAGAGTCCCCAGCCATAATCATTTTTCCATGTGGTCTATTTAAAAGAGATGAAGGTAAAGCACAATCCAGACTGCCAGGGAAAACTCTGAGAGAAATGGGAAATAAACATAAAAAGATGCATCAAATAGCAAGCAGCCTTTATTTATGTGCCTGTGCTGATGCACTAGCCATCTTTTCTTGGCGGACACAGCAGTCTTCCTCTGCAGAGGCCTCTGACTCTAGTTTCTCTCCTACCTGTGCTCTCCTTGTGAGGCGGCCTGAGCGCTGAGCTCAGTCTCCTCAGCGTCACCCAGACACCATCCCCTTGGCTGCCTTGCCCTCTTCTCCGCTGACAAGGAGCATCGCTTGGTGGGTGCTTCCTCTAGGTGGGGCCCTGAGCGCACCTCATTGCCTTCAATACAAATGCACTCAGTCTCCTCTAGAGCACCTCCCCACTGCTTTGCAACTCCAACCCTCAAAACAAGAATTTACTCAACCACTATTTTCTCTGCACCCACTCACTCCCTAAACGTTTGTCCTCTGCACCCTGCAGTCATACCCCTTTTCAGTAAGGTCAGGGATGACCTCTAAATGTAAAAGAAAACCCATTACCTTTTCTCAGGGCCTATTCTGCTAACCTCTGTCCACATTGGACCTCTTCTGGGAATTCTCCTCCCTCAGCTTCCACCTTCTGGACATGGTGTGCACCTTCCTGTTAACCCTCTGCATGTCTCCACTGCGTGGGTGAAGGCTGAAGCGAGTCCGTATAAAACAAGAGACCATGCTTTACACCCTTCTAGGTGTGAGGACAGCATTGGCAAGGAGTGGAGATGGTATCTTTGGGAGCCAGGAACAAAACAGTTAACCTGGGTGCACATTCGTGCATATGAATAGTGGAGGTGGGGACAGATGAAGACTAAATGTGGAGGTCCTGAGTGTTAGGCAGGAGCTGCTTATACACGCACACACACACGCGCGCACACACACACACAACTGGTTGTGTAACCAAATATGAACAATATTATGGAACCAGAAAATTAGCAGACTAACTTCATTTTAAAGAGGGCACTAAAAACAGACTTACTTTTTGGCTTGGGAGTCCTAACTTCAAACATTCAAGACATCAGAGTTTTCATTTCCCTCAGAGAATTCTCTTTGGGTTCTAATGATAGTGCTAAGTAATGTAGCCACTTATTTACATGCAGGTTGATCACAGGTACTCTGACCTTTCCCTCCTTGCCTTTTATTGATACAGGCTGTACTGTCCAACAAGAGCAGCATCGACGCCCTCTTCAATGTGATCCCTCCAACTTCGCCTTTGGGGGCCTGCTTTGTTTTCAGCCCCAAAGAAGGCATCATTGAACCAAGTGGAGTCCAAGCTGTCCAGATCACATTCAGTTCTGGCATCCTGGGGCACTTTGAAGAAGAGTTCCTGATCAATGTTAACGGGTCCCCCGAGCATGTGAAATTGACCATTAGGTAAGCTATAGTTACTGCAAATGTGGAAACTGAACTTTTTACCTACAGCTTTCTTGATCATGTCTTAGATGTCTGTAACTATCTTTGTTGATATGAATACTTCAGAATAATGGAGTATGTTAAATTTCTACAGTGCTTCCCTCATGAATACATGTTATTATAGATAGGTAGGTAGGTAGATAGGTAGATAGATAGATAGATAGGTAGATAGATAGATAGATAGATAGATAGATAGATAGATAGATAGATAGATAGATACTATTTGAAGGTCTGGTTTCTCTAGGTTTTAATCTCATAAACCAGTCATGGGGAGCCTTTTAGAGGTGAGTGCCCAAACTGCAACCCAAAACCCACTTATTTATCCCAAAGTGCCAACACTACAATTAAACCTGAATACTGAGGTTTTAGTTTAGGAAAAAAACTCAAACATTAACATCTTTTGTCTTAAAAGAAAAACAAATACCATGCATTCCACAGGTTCACCACTACTGTTATAAACTAAAAATTTAAACATGAGTTTCTAGTTATTCTCTGTATTTTAGGATGTTGGAAGAAATAAGCTATTAAAGTAATACCTAATTAAAATCATCTTCTTGTCTAAGCTTTGGCTGTTAGAATTTTTATAAACATTTTTCTTTTGTTATTATTTTAGGGAAATTCTTTAAATTATCTTAGTTGCCTATTTTTTTTTACAAAAAGAGTCCCCTTAGAGTCTTTGTCAACCAAGGTTGGACACTTGCAGCTTTTGTGTCAGAAGTCTTTTCATGGCTTTCCCAGCTGCTTCTGATAAATGAAGGTCATTAATAGCAGAGTTTATCCTTAGATTTTCAAAATAAGTTATCTGTAGCCAACTTGTTGGGCAGATATACAATTTTGATTCCTAGTGCTTAAAAAAAAAACTATATCTTCAGAACAGAAAGATTGTATCTTCAGAACTCATTGCTCTGATGCTGTTGGACTCTACAGCAACTGATTGTTAATTACTATGGCAGTCCTTTTATTTTGTTTATGCAACTAAAGCCCCTTACATCTATAAGCTGAGGTATCTCTTGGGGCTTTGGGTAACATAAAAAAGGATAGACACATATGGTCTGAAAGATCCTAGGAAAATGTACTGATCTTATATCTCCTAGAAATATAGAATCTCATGCTCAACTTAAAAGTGATTGTTACTTATTCTCAAATTCTGTCTAAGTACCCCTGTTAGGGACTGATCGTGTCCCCCTCAAAATTCAAATGTTGAAACCCTAACACCCAGGACCTCAGAATGTGACTGTTGTAAGAGAGCCTTTAAATGGCTAATTAAGTTAAAATTAAGCCATGTATGTGGAATTTAATCCAACATGATTGGTGTCCTTTCAAGAAAAGATTAGGACTCAGACACACACATAGAAAAAGCCTAGGTGAAGACATAAGGAAAAGATGGCCATCTACAAGCTGAGGAGGCGGACTCTCAGGAAAAACAGACAACTCTATCAGCACCCATTCTTCCAACAATGGGAGAAGTAAATTTCTATTGTTAAGCTGCCAAGTCTATGGTACTGTTATGGCAGCCCTAGTAAACTAATAAAACTCCCAACAACTAAGGAGAGTGAAAGGATGTGCCTCAAAGGTTCTGTGGCATGGCTAGGGCAGCCTGTCACAAGCATAATCCTTTTCTCAGGTCTCAAGACTTATCAGAGATACTTACAAGCCATTGACAGTCTCTTCAATAATATATCTGTGTTTGTTATTTTTAAAACTGAGTAGTGTTCCAAATATTTGAATAACTTTGACTCCTCAAAAAGGTGCACCATACTTATCCCAGCCCATGATTGACATCCTTCAGGCATGTATACAGCACAAGAAGGATGGAAGAACACCTTCACATTCCATAAACATCAGCTCACTTACCATAATAATTCACATGTCATGACAAGCAGTTCATCTGATCCCTTGAGCTCTCTATCCATGAGCTCTAAAAGACCAACTCTTAAAACTTTTGAATCAAGCTTCTTGTCTTCTTGGCATCAGGAAATGTTACTCAGAATCATGAGTACCTCCACAATGTCTAGCACATAAACAAGACTCCATACGAAAATGGGAAAGATAAAACTGTAGTTCTGCTCATATGAACATGTAAGATAATTAATGAATAAACTTTATGAATATGGATACAAAAAGTCCTTGACAAAATACTAGCAAACCAAATCTAGCAATATATAAAAAGGATTATATACCATGACCAAATGGAATTTATCCTAAGAATGCAAGGTTTGTTCAACATACAAAAATTAATCAGTGTAATCACCATTAATGTCATATACTATTGATAAAAGAAAACCCCTACATGATTATCTTAGTGAACACAAGAAAAGGCATTCACCAAAATTCAACATTCTTTCATGATTTAAAGAGAAACAAATTCAACAAAGTAAGAAGAGAATTTCCTCAGCATGCATCAAAGACCCACATGTGAAAACTAAAACTATAAAGCAGTTAGAAGAAAATACAGGCACAGATGTGCATAACTGCGGATTAGGCAGAGATTCTCAAATATGACATTTAAGCACAAGCAACCAAAGAAAAATAAGTAAATTAGACTTTACCAAAATGTAAAATGCTTCAAAGGATACTATCAAGAAAGTAAAAAGATTACCTACAGAATAGGAGAAAATATTTGAACCCGTATATCTAATAAGGGACTTACATCTAATTTATATAAAGAATAGTCACAACTCAACAATAAAAAGACAAATAATTCAATTTAAACATTAGACAAAGCTTCTAAGGGGACATTTCTCCAAAACAAATACCCAATGACATGAAAACTCGCAACATCATTACTCATCAAAAATATGAAAATCAAAACCACAATGAGATATCACTTTACACCCACCTGGGTGGCTATAATAAAATGGAAAATAAGGATTGGTGAAAATGTGAAAGAATCATAGCAGTCATACATTGATGATGAAAGTGTAAGGTATTGAAGCCACCTTTGAAAACAATCTGACAACACCTCAAACAGGTAAACAATAAGTTGCCATATAATACAGAAATTTTACTCCCAGACATATATTCAAGACAAATGAGAACATATCCACACAAAATCCTGTACTTTCATGTTTATAGCAGCATTAATCATAGTAGCCAAAGATAAACAAAATGTGGTATAGTCATATAATGGAATTTTATCTGACCATAAAAATGAATAAAAAAGAATGAAGCATGGATACATACTACAACCTAGTACATTGGATGAACATTAAAAATATCTCAGCAAATGAAAGAAGCCAATCACAAGAATCACACATTACCCAATTTTGTTTATGTGAAATGTTCAGAATAGGCAAATCCATGTAAATCAGTAAAGTAGTGGCTGATTAGGTCTGGGGGTGAAGGATACAGTTTGACAGCTAAAGGACATGAAGTTTCTTTTTGAGGTGATGAAAATGTTCAAAAATTATAGTGATGGTCGCACATATCTGTGGCAATACAAAAACCACTGATTTGTACACTTTAAATGAGTGAATTTTATCATGTGTGAATTTTATCTCCGTGAAGCGGTCATTTAAAATTTTCCCAGGAGCCTGTAAGATTGAATAATAATTCTGTCATTTCCTGGATGAATTTTTTAAAATCTCTATTCTCTTCTCTTAAAGATCCCAAAGTAGTAGTGCACTTCACAGCATTGTCAGATTAGGGTGAGATGTACTCGGGTCTTCCACCATGGTTAATAGGATTTATCAGTCTCTCAGGTGAACTTAGACTAATGAGCACCCCAGTGGCTCTGCGAAGGTTAAGACTCTGATTCCATCTTCTCGATATTAACATTGTCCAAATTCCTATGACACTGTCTTTTTTTAATTTTCATTTCTGTTCTCTTTCAGTGGGAAGGAAAACCAGACTCTGGAAAAAATGTGTATGGGGTTTTATCCCCAAACTAATCACCAATTTCTAAGAGAAATTGACCTGAATTTCCTTGTCCACTTCACTTACTTTAAAGCTCAGTGTTTCAAGTGTCCAAAATAGTCTAAAACTATCAAACTATGAACAGTAATTTGAAAACCTGGTGTATATCATGAGTAAATGTATAATTTTAAAGACTGAAATTCACATATAATATATCACCTGTTCCCGGCCCTCCACATTAACACTGACTTCACTTATTACTTTGTCAGAAAAACTGTCTTGGGCCCAAGAAATGTCTATGAAGTTAATATTGTGGATTCCAGAATTTTGTTTCTTACTCTTTTATTGTCGGGTATTTAAACCTAATAGCACATAATTTTTGCTACTCTGCCTTGAGACATCAGAACAAATGTTATACTTTTGCTATTTCTATTTGCTCCTACAATTACATGGAACAATATTTTAAGTGGTTAGATGAACCACTCTGTAAAATTAATATAATTTTTAGAATTTTTCATGAGCAGTTTTATTCCCTCCTATTTTGGCATATGTAATTTTATAAAGTTTTAACTGTAGCATGGATACATTTTGCATTAACTTGTTTCCTTTAACACATCATAATAATTGGATCAATCTCTTGCTTTGTCATTAAAATTATAATTATAAAACATCCCTGCATTGATCCATGGCAAAATCTTGGCAGAAACTCTCCTAATGCTCAGAAAATATCCCTGTTAGAGTTGTTGTGACCACATCTAAGTCCAGATGGTACCATAATTCAGCCACAGTTTTCTGTTATAAGTACCTTTGAACAAATGTGATTTCTCTCTGCCTCTTTCAACTTCTGCACTGATTAAATGCCTCATTTGTGCAATTTTCTGAACTCCTTTCTTACTTTTCCTTTCTTTTACACTGGAGGAAGAGAAACTGAGGCTAACAGAGGTAAAGCCACTGGCCAAGATCACTTGAGGTGGTGGTAGGAATGGAATTAAAACAGTTTTATGAAAGCATGGGACATCACTGATAGTCTTTGATGTTTATATGATTAGGCCTATAATTTTTATTTCTTGATGAATTAATAACTTTACATGATATATGACTCATCCAAACTACCCATATTTCTGCACCATTGGTTTAGTGATAGTTCTCTTTGGCCTCTGCCCTATTCACTGGGAGAAATGAGATTATAGGTTAATCACAGCATCATTTGCTAATACCCATGGTTTGAGACAAAAAAAATTTTATGAGCTATTGTGATAGACACCTCATAGTTTCCTAGATTCTGTAGTTGATTTGATGCCAAGTTAAGGTTTTTAGTACTGACCCTCTCCCCAGTTGCTGATCATTACCTTGAATTCACTGAATTCTCCCCCTGCTCTCCCAATTTGTATTCCTGCTTTCAGAGGCTGTGTCATTGGACCTACTTTTCATTTTAATGTTCCTGCTCTGCACTTTGGTGATGTTTCCTATGGTGAGTAATTTTCCATTTTAAATTTAGAAATTGGATAGAATTTTTTTGTCTCTACATTGGGAGAAAGAAGGTTTACAAAACATCTCTTAGCATTTCTTTAATAGGTAAAAGTCAGAAGGGTTGAGAATTGTTCCTTTCTTTCTCTATGGCAGGGTATTTGGGTGTTGCTTCCTAGCTCGTATGTGAAAGTAGTAGCTTTGTCCCAGGCACTAAGTGCTGTCAGGCCATGGCTGTCTCCCCTAGTCCAGCAGCAAGACATACATAGCACTTCATGCTTTGCTCTGCTGTCTAAACACTCTACACTGTATTTAAACGCAGATTCTAATTTGCCAGTCTGGCTGCACAATGGTCTCTTCATAGAGATGCTCTCAAGTTTAAGGTAAATTGAGTGTGGTTAGATTTAGGTGTTCCATCACTCCAAGTTGAGGACTATTCAATATTTTTTAGTTGTCTTCTCACTCAGTTGCTTCCCTGAGCCATTTCTTTCTGTCTGAGCTTCCCTACTAATAAAAATGATAGCAACATTAGCAGAAGTATTAACAAAAGCTTCACTTACTGGTTTTCTTAGCCACTGCTAAGTGGATTACATGCTGTACTTCATTTAAACCTTTTAGTAATCCTATGTGGAGGTTCTACTTAATATCTTCAATTTAGAGGAAGAAGCCCTGAGCCCTGAGACAGTTAAACAACTTTCTAAGCCCACACAGCAGGAGCAGAATTAGTATTTCATTTGACATCTGTCGAAATTCATGCACAGCAAAAGGGATGATGTTACTCCCAAAGAGACAAAAATTTGTTCTTGGGTAATGAAAAGCACCGTAAGTGTAACAGTGGTTTAGAGTCCTCCACCAAAGTTCAATATTACCCAACAGAATCTTATTCTTTAGTGTTTGTTGGGGAGAATTTAAATCTTACTTATATCACATTTGATTAATTTGTTTCAATTTGAAAGTAATTTACCTTTCTTTTTACAATGCAATAATGAAAAAAAGGTTGAGAAATTCCAGCTTTGATTCCTATTTCATAATCCTTTCTATTTTGTTTTATTGCCTCACGTTTGTCTTCCTTCATGTTGAGTAGGCCCATCTACTTTGGGGAAAAATAGTTCTTTGGGAAATGCTTATTCCTAATGTCTTTGCCAGTTCTATAACATTTGGGAGTTAAGATAGTTTTATTTATTCAGAACACATTAATCTATACAGTGGCCCTCCCTGAATACATTATATGGCAGAAAGTAGATACTGTAGAAAAATCAATATAAACAGAGTAGAATGCCTATTCCTTTAGTATAAGAAAATGGTTGGAAGGGTTTGTGCAAGGTAGTATGATATATTTGAGTGATAGGCTCTTCTGAAGGAAAATAAAAGTGATCTTGGTCATCCAGTGGCCAATTAAGAGAGGCACCCTCTTCTAATTGAAGCTGACTAGTGCACAGTGTGATGCGTATTTGTACCCCAAGACCTCTCCAGTTATCCTCCAAGTAATGGACACCGAGTCCAAGGGGCTGTCTGGACAGCTAATGCATGGCAGCAGCATGCTTTTCCCAGAATTGTGCTACAGAGCCCAGCACCAGAACATTCAGACCATGTGCCCTGTGTCATGCTGCCCCAGAAGTAGGAAACAGAGTTTAAAGACGCGTCCCAAGGCAGTTACTCCAGGAAACCTCATGCTAACTCTTTGTCCGTAATCTACTATACAATTCCTCTCTGAAGTGTTCATATAAGTGCTGTATAGCAATGGTAAACCGATTATTGAGCCCAAAGAATATCCAAAACTCTCTTATATAGAATTTAGACATTTAAATACATCAAGATCCCTAATATAGTGCATCTCAGTGGAGGGTGGCAAAGAGCAAGCAAAGGCCACTGAGTCCTCAAAATGTTGCATTTGTTTTTAAGTATTTGTAGTATCCAGTAAGTATCAGTGACCATAATACATCAGCAAAAACAAGGCCTTCAAAGCACAGGTATTAATTTTTAAAAGGACTGTTTCTAACATAAATAGTTAGAATTCATGTTAGTGTGCTCCAAGTTGAGCCCAGGTCACTAGTGATTTCCAGGTACAATTTTAACAGTGGTGGGAGCAGAAGGCAGACTGTCAGGGACAAAGATTCTCAAAGCAAATCTGTGTCTGGCAGGGCAAGCATTCTCTTAAATATACCTATGAAACAGATTTTGTTTATACAAAATTACCATCACCAGCCAAAAGGCTGCTGTGGTGGTTATTTAATTTAAAAATAAATACATTTATTCAAGATATTTAATATGTTCCTTTTGTATGAGTCCTAGGTGCAGTACGACTAGGAGATTCTAGATGTAGCAATTAAAGCCCCTCCAATCACTACCCCCATCCCACACAGTTTGGAAACCAGCACGAGACTAGAAATTCATGTGTGAACTAGATGAACCAAAGGGTCTGTGAGTTGATGTAGCTGAGATTGGAGTATTGTATAGATACAAAGGAATTAAGTTCCACTCAAAACACTGGATTATAAGACTCCTCCATCTTCTTTTCTCTCCACTGAGCTCCCAAAACTCTGGCAGTCAGGCATAAAACTTATCTATTAATAATTCACTAGTATTGAGAAATCCATGCAGAACACAGCACAACAAGAAAAAGAGTTAAATGTATGAAAATGAAATAGGGAGAAATTAAAAAAATAGATTCATTTAAAAGTTCCAATGTTAACCTAATAGAGTAGTGTTAGGAGGAGACAGTGGAAATAGCTAAAAAGTGTTATTTGGAAAGATGGTAGCTGAGAATTTTTTAACTAAAGCAAAATCTTTTTTTAAATTTTTATTTTATTGATACATTTTAGGTATACAATATAGTGACATTCATCATTGGAAATCTGCACCTTTACATAATCTCTCTTGGTTCTTATTTTTCCCCCCTCCCCTGCCCTCCCTTCAACCCATCCATCCCTCCCTATTTACAAAGACTTTGTTTTCCATTTTTTCATTTTCTCATATTAATTCCATTCCCTTCTTTCCTTTCCCTTACCCCTCCCACTCCCCCTTCCCCTTTGCCCCTTTTCTTCCTATTTCACATTATCTATTGTACCTTTTAGTCCTTATTTATACTTTCAGTTAACTAAAGCAAAATCTTTGGCCTTACGGCATATAGGCAAAGTAAATCCAAACATCATAATGAATCTCAAGAACCTTGAAGATAAAAAGAAGACCTTGAAAGCTACTAGAGAGAAAAATTATATACAAAATAACAATTGAATAGCAGATATCTATGGTAGCAATAGTACCAGAAGATAGTGTAATGCACTTTTCAAATTAATTGTGAGAAAATAATTGCTAGCCTAGAATTCTATGCTAAGAATTGAGCTTCTATGAGCTTCTTTTTACTCATAGGTCCATCTCAAAATTTAACTGCAGGGTCAGCTGTTAGAAAGCTCTAAAGACTTTTATTGATGTATTTTTTATAGTAGTCTTTCTTCAGCCTGAAAGAGGGGGGAGATTCTGAGAGTGGGTTTTTAGAGAAGCCTTCTTGAACTTAAAGATGAGTTCGTTTTTGACAATATTTAATTATGTCTGATGAAGCAAGGTTGACTCAGATTGATGAAAGGTTTGTAACCACATGGATCTTTTAGTTATTATTTCATAAAGCAAATAGTCTGAGTTCCAGAGGGAGTTAACCCAATCCAATGGCCATCAGAACTGTAAGCAAAACTACCAAAGAACTCCAACAGCCTCAGAGTTCATGGATAATTTTAAATCCATAATACTACTTTCATGCTCTGCATTACCCAGAGATTGTGGATGGTGAAATTCTTGATCAAAGGATTAACATACTCTGAGATTCTTTGTCTCTTCTAGTTCAAGGTGATATCCCCAAGTAGGAAATTTACAGTCTGTAACTTCCTGGTCAGAGTTGTGGCAGTGATCTTTGTGTACAGGAAGGTTCAAGCCCATCTGAGGAATTTTCAGATAATTATGAGCACATATTCTGAACTATGGGATTTGATCACCATCTATCTACATTCTGGAAACCCATATACCACATGCACAGTTTTCCTAGAATATGATGGCAAGATATGAGGTAGGAGCCAGTCTCTGCGCAGCTACAAAGGAGAAGATTTCCTACTGATTCTTCTTCGGAGATCATCTTATCCCTTCTTTGCTGGCATCTGTGGTATAATATTTTGTCAAATGTCATCTTAGATTTGGGGGCATAATTGAGATGCCTGAGCCCATGGAACTGGACAGAAGATCCCCATTACAGGCAGTGTTTGTTTTCTAAATACCAGTCTGAATTTTATGTCTAAAATGGATTGTATATACTGCATGTGTTTACTCATCACGCATATTCTGAATTATTTTCATAAATAACTACCAAAGAGCCACCTGCTTTGCATAATGATCTGCCAACACAGTTCCCTTTGCTTTATGGAGATTTTCATTTTACTATAAAAATTAGGAATCCATTATCTAAACTATCCAATGGATTACCCAACAGTGTCTCCATTTTAACTTAATTTAGGGTCTTACATGGTCACTGAATTGACTTAATACTCTCTTTAGATAGGGATTGTTCTTCAATAGAGAGGTCATATTCCAAATGATGTGCCATCTTTTTAGAGAATTATAAATATCTTTGCTTGTAGCCTTAGAATCTTCAGCTGCTAGTCTTCAAGAAGTCTTAGGAGCTTTTTAATCAGGCAAAAATATGCATATTGAAAGAACATTGACTCTTCTGAGAATGTTGTTCATTATGTAAGTACTGGGAGAAGTATGAGTTACCTCTGTGAATCCTTGAACATTTTGCCGAGTCATGTTGTTAATTATTCCAAGAAAAGGCAAGTAAATACAGACCTTTCATCTAATAGATACTAAGTGAAGGGTGCATAGAGATCTGTAACCTAAAACACTTACATTCACGACAGAGCAGTACAACCAGGAATAACATTCACATTAATTGCCATTCAATCTTTAACTAATGTCCCCTTCTTTCAGGCTCTGGACAAGCAAAATGGAGTATACAGATAGTAATATGAGGAACTGTTCTAACTAGATTATAATTGGTTTTGTTCTAATGAAAAAGTTGTGGCTTCAGGGAAGTAGTCTGAGCAATGGTTCTGGACATCTGTCTGACTCTGTGGGATCCACTTTTTTGTAATATACTCTATTTTAGTAGAAAATTTAACCCACAAGTAATCAGGTAAAATAGGGTAAGTCATCTATAGTTTCAAGAGCCATTATCGGGCAAGTTCAGAAGAGTGAAATAGACCAATTACATGATTGAGAAACTAACTTTCTAGCAGTTCTTCTGGAATATCTGAGAATAACCCTTACAGAAAAGGTACTTCAAGAGATCAAGTGTATGTTATCACAGCAGGGTTCAAGATAGAAGAGAGGACTTGCATCCAGCAGAAATAAGCACTTATATTATGGTTATAGATAGTTTTTGTTCTGAAAGTGGCTGCAGATACAGTGGCCACCTAGGAAATTCAAAATCAGCACTCAGTAATATTTCTCTGTTTTTCCCCCATTAAGTTTATTGGTACATTATAGGTATAAAATACATTTACATCCATCATTGGGATCTTGTACCATTGCATGAGTATCTTGGCTCTTATTTTTGGTATAGTTACACTTTTTTTTTTT